ATTTCTCACAGGCCGTCAGTTTGACACAAGCGTCCCTTAAGTTGGCAACATATGAAGCACTAGGCATAGGCTACTCTAGAGGTGCTTTCCTAATGAGGAAAAAAAAAAACAACCAGAAGGGAATCTAACACTTTATACTTCAAGCCTACGTAATTTTCCATACATTCAATCCATTTACATCTCTGAGCAACACTCCTCCAAAATCAGCCTATAAAAGGAAGGATGCAGGATGACCTACAAAAGCATAAGGTACATTTACCTTTCACTGTTTATATTTCCTACAGCTGAAAAAACACCTGAATGCATCACTTTTAACGCATACAAGAGAAGTGACATCTCTTACCAGTGCATTCAACACCTTGAACTGTGTGTGAAGTGCTGAGCTAGTGCAGACTGGTGTCAACACTTTCTACTAACACTTGTCCCGCAGCTTGCCAAAAGGGACATCAGACATTTCCTTGCATGGGAAAACACAAAGCTGGAAAATATTGTGTGTGTTTGTTAGCCCGTGCTAACAGAATTACACTTTAAAGACATGACAGACAACAACATTCTTTCCTGGGAGGGAGGTAGAGACACCTCTGGCCAGAAGAGCAGACCTGCTCTCAGCCTAGGTCCTCTCACTTCTTTCAGCCTCAGGCACCATGCTAGAAATTTAAAACATTACCAGATTCCCCAGTGTCTCAGATTTTATAATGGAGGAATCTCAAACTTTCTCTAAGCACTGGGTTTTAACTTACGTAACATGGGACTGAAATAACATTTCCTAGATAAGGAGAGGCAACTTGACAACAGAATTAAAGGCAATACAACGATCAGGCTGTTATTTTTCCAGTGAACCATCATCAGTTGCCAACAGAAAGAAAGGTTTTCCACATGGAGCACAGCTGAAACATTCAAACAAGCAGCAGATATCTATATGACAGAGATAGTACAAAGGCTGGGAGATGAAAAATATAAATTCTGTTATCCAACACCAGAAGTTGATCTTTAGCGATTATTAGTAAAATGTTAGAAGCAGCTTTTCCTGGAGCAGGCTCTCTCATAACCACTTACAGGGTCATCGCCTCTGCAATAACTAGCAGCAGCAAGTGAGAGAAGCCTGTTGGATTCAGCACGCCAATTCTTTATTTTTTGCTCCTCTGCAAGCACCCCCAGCCCAGAGACTCAAGCACAAAAACAGAGATAAACAACAGCTCAGAAAGGCTAACAGACAAAGGAGACGTGGTGACAGCCACTGTGCTGAACCATTTTCTGATGAGCTGTGGGAGCAAATTACCTTCACAAAGCTGTTGACAGCCATAATGGCCATATCTGGCTGACTCTTGGCGTAGTTCATCAGGTACAGGTAGACCAGCTTCTTCAACTCTAAGTTGTCA